CGCATTCAAAGAAGCAGTTTCATAGTAAGATAATTTTTCAACGTTTTTTCCCTTTCCCTACCTTAACAGATGCACTTTCGATCGCAATGGCCTCTCCCTGCCTGTGACTACAAGCTCTGTACCTAGCTTGCATAATCGTTGGGAACTGTCTAGACATAGTGGTCATTTTATCAGTGACTTCTAGTCAAACAGGTAGAATATGAAAAATCTCAAAAGGTTTCAAACATCTTTAAAAGTAACAAATTCTCACTAATTGGTAAGCTGATCCACTACGAGTTTGACAGACATAAGCAGTATAAATCCGTATGAAAGAGCACTTTACTGCCGCCCGCCTTGGACAGACTGAGAGTTCTGGTATTGCCCAACATGCGACTGTTGAAGGACATTCTTTCAATTAAACCAATGTGCCTATCATTGACAGAGATCAATCTAGATTAAGTCTGCTGATAAAGGAGTCCTTGCATATGTTGGCAATGAAAAACCGGATGTGCAACGAATACACATATTCTGTTGTCATTATTGAAAGCTGGGTCACAATCACAAAACTGATGCGCAAAATCGGGTCAAAAGGACAAAGATTTACTTTGATATGCCACAACACTTAGTTCTAATGATGCAACATTGATTTGACTGTGTAATAAGCCAACTGAAAAACTGGCACTGTTTGCTTATTGGACATAAATTCTTTCAAGCAGACAATTGTACTCAGTCCAGCCCTGCTGATGCTGCGGTTTGCGCAGTGAAACGCGTTGGCGTTAAATTATTTACCATCTGTATTTCGTGCTTTTTCCGAACCATGAATCCTTCAAACAACTACGTATATGACTATTGACCCAGAATCAGAAACCTGAAGAAGTAGATATCAACACTGTTTGAAACTCTATTTAACTACCAAATAATTTTCAGCAAGCAAAAAATATTACTACCATTTCATTCAGCAGCACCACGCTTAGCAAACCATAATCAGTTTCGAGAGAAAAGCTAATGCGAAAGATCGAACCTACTGTAACACAGCTAGTGGTAATCAGCAGGTACGTATGACGCATTGCTAAAGATTACAGAAAATATGGCAATCAGTGATAGAGTCAGTTTCGATCTGAGTCAATTCTCTCGCGTCTCGGAGACAAACCGACAGACATTTTTTGAGACGTTTAAGATCGTGTGCCAGCGTTTGGTCTGCGACAGAAAATAATTCAGATCTGCAGCAGAGTTATTCGAGACACTTGTCCCAGGTTATTCGTGGCCGTCTCAGGTGACTTCGTTGGTGTTGGTTCGGAGCGGTGACCTCTCAAATTGCAAGAGCAGTGGTTGTACTTATAGACTCTCCAGTATATACAAACACCCGACTATGACCAGACATGTGAGTTAAGCGATGCCTCTCACAAAGTTGCTGTCAGTTGCTTGTACCCGAAACTGGAGCTTTCAGCCTTATTGCAGTCCGGCTACGTCACATTCAACTGCAAAACTTTCCCAAAAGTGCAAGAAATATCTTTTAGAGGATGCAAACGTAATAAGTCGTATGCAAATAGCAAGTTTCTCTTCTCTACATCTCCCGCGCCGATACAGTTGTTAATCTGGCTGCGTCTGATCATCGAATCCATGTACAATGCAAG